TTGATAACTGCCCACAAGTATGGAAGACGAGGAGCGTCGGAAAAGGTGGGGAGGCGGTCGCGGCCGACCACGGCATCTAGTTCGGCCTGTGCTCTGCGCTGCACTTCTGGGAAGGCAATCATGGCAATTGTCCACCAAGAAAGGGTGGTAGCAGTCGTCTCGGCCCCCGCGGAGCTGTGAGACGTCATATTTTCACATGTCGGATAACAACGCCAAGTATTCGCTTACTACAACACCCCAACAAGGTATGCCATTTCGGGCTCGCTGAGACGACTGCGATCGCAATTCTGTATCAAAGACGCGCTCAGGCTTGGCCGGTTCCCCCCATTCGCCTATGTTTTCGTTACTTGGCGGCCGAATACCATGGGATGAGGGAAGCACATACAAGGTCAACTCGAACTCGATTAACAAGACCACTGAACATCGCATGGTCCTCGGTAAATTGCTTAAACCCTTCCCGCTTCCATCTCGCGAATCTGGTTAATGGTAAATCAGCATGCACAACGAGATAATGAAGAAAAGTCACAACCTCTCAGGGATGTGTCTCATCCACGGGAATATATTTACGAGATACGACCCCGGTTGCGCGGCGTAGCTCATACGGAGGTTGTACGCCTCAATTTTTTCGACAGCGGGATCATGATCTGACAGGATCGTTGGGTAGTCGTAAAGGATGGACATGGTTGTGGATGCGCTTGAACGTTGGAAGTGTTTGTCTGGATTGAGGCTGGCAGAAGGCTTTAAAAGCGAAGAGACCAAAATAGTGGCCTCCTTCGTCTGAATTGGATGATAGCTTTGAACCGCCCTCTTGGTAAGGGCCTCGTGTCCTGCACGACGTATGCGACGCCAGCTAGTTGAAGAAGTGGGCATCAGCATCGTGCGGTCTCGTTATCCGAACATAGTCACCCACCGCCCATCATGGTTCATCAGTGAGAACAGCAGGCCATTGCTGAGGATTTCCTGAGCCATAATGAGTCGAGGACGATCAGAGTAGTTGCTCGCACGGCGCTCGAGAAGATCGTAAGCTGCTTTGGCGCTGTTGATCACGACTGCGGGTTGCCCAGCCGCATCAAGATACATGATCTCTCCTGCGGATTTCGCCCAACACGTCTTAGCGTCCCCCTGGACAGAGATGGACGATCAGCGACTCACCAAAGCGTGCTTTGCAATCTCTCGAGAAGAGCCAATTTTTATCTTTCAGTACAAGGGCATTCCCAATGATCGGTAGACGCCGAGGGCTGGGAGGTAGATGTCTCCAAGGGCTCCTGGTATAGCGAACGACGAAGATGATGACCAGCCCCAGTAAAATGCCTGCCGTAAATGTCCTGTCCTCCCAGAATGCTCCTTTGGCTGGCTCTGAAAATGCGTGCGTCGCGGCGTCCAGGACGTCGCGAAACCAGTACATGCATTTCGCCACGGTGGCCAGGATGTTGTGCGCCATGGGAGATCACGCTGTCTAGAGCGGGGGGGGATACCTCGCTGACGGCTAATATGCCAACTTGCCCTACTGTAAAAACGTGACCTGTAACGTGTGGAATGGAAGGCAGCCATGGAGCATGCGTTTCGGCTCGAGACTTATCGGCACCCAGAATGGATCGAGTTGTGAATTGAGTTTCGTACATAGTTTCTTGTAGGGAAGCGTCGTGCCGCTGTAATGTAGATATGGGCGTTTTGGGTATCACCGCTCACGCATAAATATAAACATATTTCAGTCCACACTCTGGTGAATGAATTTCCCACGAGTCTCCCGACATTAATATTGACGTCGCTATGCTTCCGAATAAGCCCTTCGGAGTCTTGATGCAACAAATGTCACCCTGAGAGTCATATATACCGTATCAAGAGGTTATAAGAAGGCATCGTTGGATTTTCCTAGTCAAGACCCGAATGTGTGCATGCTTCCTCGGTTTAGAAAAATCGCTCATAAGAGGATCGCAAACACGAATCATTTATTATTTTGGGCGCAGTGTCCAGCGTCGATGTACGCTGTGGCGATAGTTTGGAGGTACTCACCTGGACCGGTCGAGGGTGAGCTCAGAACGTCGTGCGTCCACAAGCGTGGCGAAGACGCGAGGTTATAAGCCTATGGACCACGCCCCATGCCCCATGGCGGTGGTAGCACGGACGATCAATGCGCTCTGGGCCAAAACAAAGAAGAAGGGTGTCACTCAGCGGTGTCCGGCTTCACGTGCAAGTGCACTCGCCGCCCGGGAGGGTAGAGAAGAAGAGGGATTCAGATATCAAGATATAAGAAGCAGTAGCGGAATCATTTTTACACGGTGGCAGCTGAACGAAAGGGTCACTTACGCAGTCGTCCGTACCCTGCGTTGTCGGCCTCCGCAACAAACCACACACACTCGTCCGTGCATCGCCTATCCGAGTATGGAGGTTTCACCAGAAACGCACCTGCCCTGACCATGACCCCCGCTTTTCACCCATCGACCATCATTCGTTCTGTATGTAAGCCCTCGCCGTACGCCATGCTCTCGAAAATGACTTGCCGCCACACGGCAATTGTGAACTCAACGGCCTCTTCATCGAGGACCTGCGTGTCCGCGTTGGCTAAGCACGGGTTTGGGAAGTGCGTATGATACGTACCGGTTCGAGACCTTCCACGAGTTTGGCTGGGCTCTTGTGGTCTTTGAGGTGTTCGATAACGTACATCACGACGTCTTCGTCTTCGAGCTCGCCAAGGTACTTGACCATCGACTTTTTGACGAGCGGTTCCAGCTTACGATCAATCAGTTGCTGTCACATCAGGTCAATGAGGTTGAAAAGTTGTACAACATGGAACTATCGCACCTCGGTGACCGCGTCCCACCTGACCTTGGCCCTGAACAACATTTCCCTCTCGCTGGGCACAGACCGCCTAATATGTTCTAAACGCTCCTTGGCCTTCTCGCTATCATTTGCTGCGCTAAAGTCAAGTAATTGGAGTGGTGCCTTGCGCTTGCGCGTTGCCTCTTCCTCCTCTTCCTCTGCACCGAACACCGCAGGCGCGGGTGCTTTCTCTTTCGTAGAACCTGCATCCGCCTTCGGTCCAGCTGGTGCGAGGGATACATTGAGCTTGACTGGAGCGCCGTCGTCGAGCAGCATGCCAGCTTTGCGTTGTTCCTCCGCCAGCGCCTGCAGCTCGTCCATCTGCCGCGCAAGGAAGGCCTCGCTCTCGCGCCGCAGGTTCTCGGCCTCGCGTGCTTCATATGCACGCATCTCGTTGTCCGCAGACTCCTCTGCAACTAGGCGCCGTACACGTTGAGCACGCCAGCGTACGCGGTCGGTGTAGAAGAGCTCATCTGACTCGTCGTCATCCCAGATGTCGAGTCTCGCACGCATCTCCGTGCGGTCACGCTCTTCAGCGTCGCGTGTGACACGGTCGCGGGCGATGGCACGCTCGAGAGCTTGGATCCGGTTACGCTCGCGGGGCTCATAACGGCGTTCGCGCTGGAGAAAACAAAGACTGGTGAGAAGGGGAACAATATAACTTAATGCACGGCGTACGTCTCTGAATGAATTCTCTTCATCGCGTCTCCGTGCCTCCTTTCGCTCCTGCTCAAGCTCTTCGTCTGTTTTTGCTGTCTTACCGGGAAGCTGCCGTTCGTCATCGCGCTCCCAATTTTCGGCCTTGACAAATCCAACTGGTTTTGAGAAGCCCTGTTGAGGATCGTTTCCAAGAGGTGCACGCTCGCGCATCTCGGCGGCCCCCTGGGCCTTTCCCCATTCGCGAACCTTGGGGCCACTTGGGGAGGCTTGCGTGCTGAGGTTCGGCACGGCAGCACGAACATCGCGTAATTTCTCGCGCTCGCGTTTGGCTGCTCGCTCACGGAATTGCGCAATCTCCGAGATAACGAGCCCACGTTGGGTTTCTGGGAGGTCGGCTTCTTGGAGATCGTGTAGGTGGGGTGGAATTACGTAACGCTCTTTGTCCAGTAAACCCTTGTTGGCGGCCTCTTGGGAGACACGGTTGATGTCATTGATGAGCTCATATACCCGGGCCTTGGCTTTTTGCGATGCTTCTTCGTCTGCCTAATACAAGTTCATAGGGTCAGAATGATAAATCCCAATATACTGATAGGGACAAGCCGCAGCCCTTATAGCGGAATGTACGTCCTGCCTAAGGGCCACGCATATATGCACCGTGTGGGTTGCAACGGGGGACTGTCAGGTCGGAAGTGTAATGACCACGCACGTTTGTTTGCATTCGCTGGGCTTGATAAGCTTCAAGGAACATCTTGGTCTTTTCATCTCCCTTGATCTGAGTAGCGATATTTTATTAGCTAACACTTCCAACACAAGGCAGCACGAGGACGCACCAATAATTTTTTGTTCACGCAACCATCCTCCAAGGCAGGTAGCTCAACATTATTTAGAAGTGCCATTGCTCGCAGCGCACCGTCCGGATCCTCGAATTCTGCAAATCCAAAACCCTGAGGTTTATTTGCGGGTGTGATCAAACGCTTGAAAGACTTGACATTTCCGCAAGCCTATCGAGTCTCTATAAGCGAGAAATGAGGCCGATGGCGAGGGAGAACACCCACGGTAAGGAGGTCATTAAGGAAACCATCGGTGATTCCACCTGATATCGAGCCGACAAAGAGAGAAATTTGCTTCTGAGCTTGAGGGGGCGTAAAGCCCTGAACATGCATTTGCTGCTGCTGTGCAAGAGCCGATATTGAGGGGCCTTGCCCGTACGACGGCAGAGGAGGACGCAGACCAAGTCCTAGCCGGTTGGGCTGCATAACTGTTGCCAGTTGCCACTGATTGAGGTGCGTTCACCTGCGTCACATTCATATATAAGCTGTATGGAGGCACGAAGGGCAAGCATACCAATTAGTTTGGCCCCTTACAATGACTGTAAATCCACCGGGTGGTACTCGTGAGACTGTGGTCAAGTTGAAATGGTAAGGAAGACGAGCGAATGCCACCACGGTTCGAACGCCGAGCCAACTAACACTATGGTGAGATATCACAGAGAGGATTGGACAAACCGACGATAGTTGTATGGCAATATGGCCGAGCGGTCTAAGGCGCTGGAATCAGGTGTTATTTGAATTACCCCTTATCCAGTCCGAAAGGGCGTGGGTTCGAATCCCACTGTTGTCAAATGTTTTCCTCGATGTTCCTGGATCCCATTTAGATTTGATTCGTCCTCGTCCTCACAATTCATTTCACTCTTAAAGTAGTTACAGCGGATTCACTTAACCTTGGGGTGCGCCATTTTCAAGAAAAAAATCTCGGGTAATTTCGGCAAACTCCGTGACTGAGTTCCCCCCAGTAACTGTATGCACGAAGCAGTGATAAGATATGATAAATGCTAGATGATCGTGACCTTGCCACTTTTGTCACACATAGTCGGACTCCGACACGGCATTTGGTCAGCAGGTGTGACAAACCGACTTTTTTCATTCTCACTACTCAGTGCATTTCCCATCAAAAACATGGTTAGATTCTATTCATGCAAGCTACAAGATGACATGTACGAATTTTCATAGTGGTTGAGTAAAAAATGGGTGAGATATGTGTGACTGTCTGAGCGGGGGGTCCATCCAAACCGGGGGTAGGGTTAGGTACTGGTGTCACAGAGTTTGCCGAAATTACCCGAGATTTTTTTCTTGAAAATGGCGCACCCCAAGGTTAAGTGAATCCGCTGTAAGCAGAATCTGCTGCCATTCGGTGCAGATCCTGTACATTGGCAGGTCATTTTGTGCGCTTCCTCCATGCAAAACCATAATCGTCGTGCGTTTCCAGTGCGCTTTCTCAAGCGCTTTCTTATCATTTTTTTTGTCCGCCTTGGCGTGGGTTGTTAACTTTCGGCGCCTTGTTTGTAACAACCGTCATCCGACTCGCGGCCAGACTTCCAAGATCAACAACCCAATGCATAATTGGCAATGTGTTTCCTCCCCCATAACGACTTTCTTAGCAACATTGCCATAGCAACTGAAACTGTGAACTCTCCTTGGAACTCTCTCTCAAATTCGTGGCTAGGGTGTTAGACGGGAGAAAGATTAGAGTGCGAGGTAAGGCAGTCGTCTTTTCCGAGTCAAAGTGGATGCCGCTTCTTTTGACGGCCAAGAGCACAAGAATGACCTTTGGAGGCGGGAAATACAAATTTCACAATATATCGCATTGGGTAGCGACAGCAACTAATCATCGAGTCATTTGTGCCAGTTTTGTGCCCCACCGCCCTGTGCGCGCGCGCTCATGGCACTCATAAATCCCATTTGACTTCTCTGATGCTCGTATCTCTTGGTCCCCACGTAACCAGAGCATCTTTTTAAAGCCCAAATCTCGCCTTTGTCTTTGCACCTAAAGATGCCCCATCACGGCCGAAGGACCTCGACTACGTCCTTGCTTTCCACCAACACAACGTCATCCTCCTTTGACCCCACACGGGGCAAGACCAAACCACCACAGGTGCGGAAAGACTATGCTACCGCATTTTCTACGTTGCAAAGCAAGTACGGCATCCCCGAAATATCCTCCATGTCCGCTCCCGTTCCACTCCCCTCCAAGAAATCGCCCACTTCCAAACCTTTACCGGCGCTTGCCGAGCCTCTGGGGACGACCAACCCGTCGTCATCCACCGCCACAGCCCATTACCCACGAAACAGAAGAGATATTCCTCCGCCCTTTCCTTCCTTTGGTCAAGGTACCGGCCAAGCAGTCAGCTGGTGCATTCCTCTTCGCAGCCATCATCTTCTACACGGGAGGGGGAGGAACGAGGAGACAACGGAGACGGCATCAAGAGGGTTGATGGAGCAACGGCGTCAAGGAGCTCTGATGATGGGAATTGACTCACCGATAGCTTAATGGACAGTTGTTAGGTTAATGCTGGGTAAGGCTGGGCATTTTGTAGGGATAGGTGGAATTATCCACCTGTCACGACTTCGTCTCGAGCCTCAAAATGTTGCGTTTAGTAGTCCGTTGTTGTATGGGATGTCCCCTTGGTTGTGTTGTTGTACTTCTTTCCGGCTACGGCTGCGGCCTCAACAGCGCCTCAGCGACCAATTTCCCTTGAGGCCGAAGACTCCGTGCAACGCCCAATTTTGGCTGGTTCCGGGATCTGACGATCTGACTTGTTCCTGTCCGGATTCTCATCACTGGGCAGACAGCTGATGGAGTCATGATCACCGTGATGTTTATCTCGCAAAGAAATATGATATTCGAGGGGCTTGTTTGTGACTCGTGTGACGTTATTTCCATGTAAGTATATCATACAGGGATGGCAGGTAAACTAAATGACGAGCATGTATTACGCACCGAGCAATGTCAGAGAACGCGACGGAGACGCGATTTGGCCGTGGAGTAAGGTGAGTGCCAGTGACTCGGACCACAGTCGCGGAAAGGGGGATCGGGGAAGGGCGCGAGTGGTTAGCGCTAGTCAGCAGTCAGCATCCATCCAGGAGAGGATGTGCGAAGGCATAAGTACAGCCGACAAAGTGTTGCGCCCACGTGAAGAGGACGGAAGTCGGGAGTATGAACGGGGACGAAGGTGCGCTGAGGGATGCGACGCGTCTCGCAATCGCCCCGCGACTCACGAATGGCAACGATAAGAATGGACGCGCAGTGGAACGGGTGATTTTGTCAGCGCGAGAAATGGTCGGGAGGGACGAACGATTTATGTCCCCAGTATGTGGAAACGATCAGCCAATACGAAGCGGAACTTGTGTCGCCCCGGCAGGAGCCACTACACAACAGCAGATGCTGTAGATGCCTGGAGTAGTCCTCTACTAAGTTAGCCTGATTGCTTGCAAGTCCCTTGTTCCGGGGAGCCTTGCTGGCTTTCCGACGCACGACCCTAGCAATTCGAGGCGACCATTCGAAGCAGTACCTGTGTCACCAAGTGCACATGGCCAGTAGTCACAGCGATTCGTATGGCTCGTGCTCGGCGGTTCCAGCCTCGCTGGATCATATATCAATTGCCTACATTCAATGCACATTGACTACCTCACCGCTGCGCCTGAGAACTGAGAATCGTATCCTTGATCGACGTGGCATTGTCTTGAGAGCCCTGCGGAAGACCTCATCACCTCAGTGGCTGCATGATATTTCAAAGTCGCAGCCAGTTCCCATGGAGGGTAGAGAGTGGTTAACTGACCTTCGACCACGTCGAGGGGTTTCAGCGGAAGTAACTCCATTAATATTGTGGGTGAGCGTTCTACCTAGCTCGCGGTGAATAAACGCACCCTGCCGTAACGGTGGGATAGAGTGACCAGCAGGTCTCGGAACTTGAGAGCTTGAGCGCTTGAGCACTCACCGTACTCACCAGTACTCACATCGAAACGGACATCCCCTTGGGCATTGGCGCAATTGGACATCGCCGGTAAAAGAGCGCTTGTGCTTACTAAAGCGTGTCCACGTGCCCAGTGGCTAATTGGAAAGGCCTCGCTGGCTTGGCATCGTACCTTCTATATATAACAACTCCGGATCGTTTGCAGCAGGAAATAGGGTTTATGCTAAGTTCTGTTGCTGGGCCTTTGGACCCTCCTTTTGGCAATGTAAGTGCCGAACCGTCTTTGCTTCGTGATGCCGACTAGTGTTTGGGCTTGCTAATTATGCATACCACGGCGCTCTTGCGGCGCATGTAGTCATCGCCTTTTTTTTTAGGTGAAATGTGGCCGCCTATAAAATCCAATAGTCCATAAGCAGCGTCCCCTCACAATTTGCATCCTGTTCAGTCTGACATGGCCGACATCCCATTTGCTCCTCTCCTCATTAATGGCGAGCGCCGACCCGCAAGTACCGGCGCGACCTTCTCCGTCCACAGTCCATACACTGGCGCCCTCGCCTCTACCGCCGCATCAGCGTCCTCGGAAGACTGCCGCGCTGCGATCGAAGCTGCGCAGCGAGCCTTCCCCGCATGGGAGGCGACGCAATACGCTACGCGCCGGGAAATCCTGCTTCGTGCATTGGCGACGCTCCAGTCTGAGGCATGGCAGAAGAAGGCGGCACCTGTGATGCGCGCGGAGGTAGCGATGACACGGGCGCAACTCCTTCTCAATTTTATATTCGGGGCTGGGACCCTTGCTTCCGTCGCCGACATGGTGGGCGAGTTGAAGGGAGAGACACTTCCGAGCGTTCTCCCGGGAGGACAGGTATTTGTGCAGAGGCGCGCCCACGGGGTTGTGTGCGTTTTCATATGATCTCCGTGTGGTCTTTCTGGTCGGCTTATTTGCGACGGCAGGTACTCGGTGGTCCCGTGGAATGGTCCCATTCCGCTTATCGTGACCGCTGTGGCCATTCCCCTAATTTGCGGCAACACCGTGTTGGTTCGGCCCTCGGAATATTGCCCATACACCTCTTCCCTTGTTGTGGATGCTCTGCACGATGTTCGTGAATTAGGCAGTTCAAGCCGGAATAAGCCTGTTTCTCGTATCTGACGTCGATGATAGGCTGGCCTTCCCGCGGGCGTTGTAAATTTTGTGCCAATGTCCGTCGAGAGTACCCCTACGTTGACTCAGGAAATCATTGCACATCCAGCAGTCAGGAAGGTTACGGTGCGTATCTTTTGTACTCTTAATCACGACTATTCTGACCTCAGCAATCAATAAGTTTACTGGATCTGATCGCGTTGGAAAGATCATCGCGAGCGAGGCGGCCAAGCACCTGAAGCCATGCGTCCTTGAACTCGGTGGAAAAGCACCCGCCGTCGTACGTGATGAAACTGTAGAGTAGAGGCTTTTGTCGGACTGACATCCGGGGGTGTGCCGCAGGTCCTCGCGGACGCCGATATTGAGCAAGCCTCACGGGCTATCGTATTTGGGGGATTCTTATACTCTGGTCAGATTTGCATGGGCACAGATCGTGTCATTGTGCAGCGACCAGTTTTTGAACCCCTCATTTCCGCGATCAAACAGCACCTCAGCACCTTCACCGTCGGTGATCCCGAGCACGCTACTCTCTCGTCGCTCTTTACGGAGCGCAGCGCAGATGGCATCATGCGATGCTCAAAGAAGCCAAACAGGCTGGCGCCGAAGTTCTGCTCGGCGATATGGAGAAGGCAGGGCCGGCGCTGCTGAAGCCTCACATCCTTCTGGGCGTCAAACCCGAGACAAGGCTTTGGCAGCGCGAGTCGTTCGGCCCTGTGCTCGTTGTGGCTGTCG